TGAGTTATATGTATAATTTATTGTTCTGTTTTACCACTACTTGTTCTTTGAGTTCTATGTATAATTTATTGTTCTGTTTTACCTTTACTTGTTATTTCAGTTCTATGTATAATTTATTGTTCTGTTTTACCGTTACTTGTTCTTTTAGTTCTCTGTATAATGTATTGTTCTGTTTTACCACTACTTGTTTATTTAGTTTTATGTATAATTTATTGTTCTGTTTTATCACTACTTGTTCTTTGAGTTCTATGTATAATTTATTGTTCTGTTTTACCACTACTTGTTTATTTAGTTCTATGTATAATTTATTTTTCTGGTTTACCACTACTTGCTCTTTTAGTTCTATGTATAATTTATCGTTATTTTCTGTTTTAACTATACTTTCTTTGCTAGATGTATATATTTTTTTCTGGTTTACCAGGTCAAAATCCATGCCTCAAACGGGATTACGGTCAAGGAAGTGTTGTCTGTGTCTGTAACACTACTTATTGTGATACAGTTGACTATATCGATAAATTATCTCCCGGAAAAGTACAGGTGTTTGAGAGTAGTAAAGAAGGCTTAAGACTTCAGAAGAAGGCTTTAAACTTTAGTCCTAAGCCTAGAAACCAATGTGAGTATATACTCGTTATACTGAATTACAGTTATTGCTGACGTATTTTCTTCATGGAACAAAAGTAAAAGTTTTATTTCTATATTTTTGATGAACATTATAACTTTAACACCTGAAGAAAAAACGTATTCCAATACACGTAAGTTGATACCCATATGCGAGCCTCTGAATTGAAAATTATTTAAACACTAATAGTAATATTTGATGATAACATCTTATTTTCTGGTAATACTAATACAAGCAAGATAGTAAGTTCTCCCACGAGATCGTTACTTTACAAGCTATAAATATTTTAATCGATCCACAGCAAGAAATGGACAGAAATGGGTTTCAGCTTCAGTGAACAGGGACCAACGTTTTCAAGAAATCTTGGGTTTTGGAGGTTGTTTCACGGACACGTCTGTACTTAATATTGGAAATCTTCCTACAAATATGCAGAAAATGCTTCTGAAGTCCTACTACAGTCCTGAGGGTAAGTTTAGCCTTTTGGTCTCTTTGTGCTTTGAGAAGCTTGGACTTGTTGATGTGCATTGTTAAGCAGTATGTAATGCTGTTACGACAGCGGAAGTCACGCTACGCTGGGAGCAGGCGCGCTGGAGTTTCTAGAAGGACCATGACATATCGAGGAACCCCTCGAAATCCGAGTGTTTTCCAGGCGCCCTCTTTTTTTTTTCTTTTTTTTTTTTAGTATATATAAGCCTGGCAAATAAAGCCAGCGGGCAGATAGATTGAAGAGATAGATAATTGAGTCAAACGACCAGTAAAGCCCGTAAGTAATGTATGTGAATCACTGCGACTTATAGCGTGTGTTATA